CACTTGCTGGATAACCACGATTCTGAATTGTATCATCACTGATTGGGTTTGCCGTTTCTTGAACTTCATTCACATGTAATCTTGTGTCTGGCTTCCGTCACTCAACATGATATCAGTGAGATCCATCTGTGTTGTGTGTATCCAGGAGCTCTTTCTTTTTTTCTCAGTGTAGAATGACACATTCACCAAGCATTTACCACTGTTCTAAGAACCTGACATGTAATGATTCACATAAACTTCCCATCCCTGTGAGGTTGTAAGACAAAGAATTGAAGACACAGAGAAGTTAAGGAACTTGCCCAGGGTCACCCAGCCAACTGATAGCCAAGACAGGGTTCGAATGTAAGCAGTCTGGTTCTGGAGCCAAGGTTTTCTTAACACTATGCTGGGTGGCCTCCGTGATACCTACCAAGTCTGTGCCTGGCCTTGTGTGGCTTAAATGAACTAATGTGTACTTCCAGGACTGGGTGACTGGATGTGGATGGAGGGAGACAGGAAGGAGTTGAGGATGACTGCAGGTTTCTGGCTTGAGTAAGTGGGTGGGTGGCGGTGCTGTTACTAAGATAGGGAACACAGGAAGAGGAACAGATGGCATGGGGGGTGGGGAACAGAGACAAGGGGTTCGATTTGGGGCCTGCAGAATTTTGTTTCTAAGGGATGGCCAGGCAGAGAGACCAAGTGAGCCTTTGGTTTGGGGGAATCTCAGGCTTAGATGTGTGATTAGGACAGCATTCAGCACCCTGTAGACAGCATCTGGAGTTTGGGAAAGGATGGGGTCTCCCAACGGGATTGTGCTGGGGACAAGATGCGTGGGTTGTGGTTTGTCCTTGTGTGTTTCTGTGTCTGGGTGCCTCTGTGCTCTGTCTGCTTGTGTATATGTGTGTGTATGCCTGCCTCTGGGCCATGAGTTCCCGCATCTCCTGTGAGAGCCTTCAGGTCAGCTGAGAGCTGGGCTGTGTTTGTTTGTGGTTTGACCCTGGGGGGTGGGGGGTGGTGCCAAGCCTGAGAAACTGTTTGCCGAGAAGCCCCCGGAAACACCTGTGCGTCCTCCTTCCCTGGGACCGTTGTTGTTGGAGGGTTGGCAAGTCGGGGAGCTTCTCTTGCTGCTCATGTGCCTGTGGGGAGAGGCTGTCCCTGGGATGAATTTCATCTAGCAAGTTGGTTGACGGCATACTGCCTGGGTCTGGGATCCACAGACTTTGTGGAAGGCTAGGCAAACGGGGATAGGGGTGTTTAGAAACGACACCTGAGTAGGGGAGATCGCCAGCCTTCTGGTTGGTTTTTCCTGTTCACTCTCATTTCCTGTGATGGCAGTGGGGGAGGGGCTCCCCAGCACTGGGGCCTCTGCATCGTTTCCCCTTCCTCCTGGTGACCTCCTGGGGCCCAGCCCTGAGTGCTCAGGAGGCACAGAGAGACAAGGTAGCTGGGCTCAGCCCTAAGGACCGAATCCTTTGGGGATTCCCAAGCAGTGGAAGGGGTTGTTATTTGCTGCAGCATTTAAGGGAAGGAGCCCCAAGTGCCCTCCACTCGGTTGAGGCCAGCCAAGCTGTGGGAATCTCTGGTTGCACTCCTGTGGAGGGCTGAGACCCTTAAAGGGGAGACACAGCGAGCAGTGTATCCTGGGATGCTCCAAGTCACCCAGCTACGGACGGGAGAGCGTCGTCTTGGCCGGTCAGTTTTACTAGAAGAGGGTTGTTTTTTTTTTAAGGGGAGAAAATAATTTCCCTAGGAAGTTATTTCAAACAAACAGGGTTAGATATTGGAGTGGAAGGCAAGATGAAGGTGAATTTTGAAGATCAAACAGGAGATGCTAAAGAGACACAAAGCCCAGGTGGCTCTGGCCCCAGTCAGGCCTGGAGGCCGGGGACTTCTCTTGTGGGCGGGGGTTTCTAAGGGAGAGTCCGAGCAGCTCCATCACAGGGAAGTTGGACGCTGGAAATCGGGGCTGGTGTCAAAGCCATGCTGTTCCCTGAGTCCTGGTCAGCCTGGCCCCTAACGAGGGCCCGTTGCTGGGGTGTGCGGGTGGCGTGTCTGTGGGTGTGCTAGGGGCAGGAGGAGGAGGAGGAGCCACTGTACGAGGGCCGTGCAGGCTGTCGGCGTGCGCCCAGCCTCACACACACAAAGGCACACAGATGCAGCTGTGTGAATCACCCAGCCAGTGAGTCAGCCCCAGGATTCCTGCCGGGGAATGAGCGTGGCCAGGCTGAGGTCTGTCGGTCCATCTGTCGGTCTGGCGTGTGCGTGCGTGTAGGTGGGTTACAGGAGGTAGAGGGGAAGGTGCCCGGTGCTGTCCCAGGAGGGCTTTGGGGCAGAGGTGGCGGGAGTCTGTAAGGGACAGGACGAGGGTTTGGATCTCAGTGCTCCGTCTGGTGCAAAGAAGCCTACTAGAGATGTGGCCCTGGCGCGTAGGGCTCCTCGGGGAGGGCCTGGGTTGCCTTGGAGGGTGGGTGGGAGAGGTGATGACCAGGGCTGGGTGCCCACCTCCGCCCTCAGGCCTGCCATCTAGAGCTTTCCCCTTCCTGTTCCAGGCTGTCTGTGCCCAGACCCCAGTGTACCCCTCACCACCATGACCGGGCTGCTGAAGAGGAAGTTTGACCAGCTGGATGAGGACTCCTCCTCACTCTGCTCGTCCTCCTCCTCTTTGTCCTCCTCGGGCCGCCACTCTCCCTCCTGCTCCCCGAGCTCTTCGGCCTCCCCGTCTTGGGACTCGGATGAGGAAGGCCCCTGGGATCAGATGCCCTTGCCTGACCGCAACTTCTGTGGCCCCCGAAGTTTCACCCGTGAGTCCCTTCACCCTGGGAACGCATTACACCCCTCTTTCCTTCCTGAAGATGAAATTGGGGGGCCCTGATGAAGTCGTTCTGGCCTCTGGAGGTCGTGTCCCCATGGCTTTAGCTTCCCTACTTGACTCCCCACCTCATCCACTTCCTGTCCTACAGGGGTCACTCGGGAATGCCCCCTGTCCAGAGGCACTTGGGTCCAGCTACATTCACCTTTAACCTTGGGACTCTCCAGCTTATAAGTCATCATGTTCAGGGCAGGGCTCCTCAGTGGCCCTGGGGCCTTCCCGCCCAGCTCTGTCCCTCAGTTCCTGTTTTGTTTCTCCAGCTGGCTCCCTATCCTCTACCAGCTGAACTGCCCGAGTCCCACACCCCACGCTTCTGTGCTGAGGGGCCTGTCAGGCCGGTCCCTCGCCTAGCAAAACGCTGTTTGGCTTTGCCTGAACGCAGTGAAAAGGTTTTTTCCCAGTTATTTTTTCAAGCTTGCGTAAGTCTGATTCCAAACTGACAAAGATGGCCCTAGAGCAGTGTTTCTCAACCTTATTTTTCATTATTGCACCCCAAACCCCAAGGAGCCCATTGAGACATTTTCTTCCTGATCCTCCCCACCATGATGTCTTAATACCACAGATATGTCTATTTATGTACTATATGCATATCTGTACCTTATACATGAGAAAGTATAATTTTTACCAGATAGAATCTAACAGTACATTAACTGACTAAACTACTATGGGTTTACTTTGGAAATACAAGGGTGGTTTAATACTATAAAATCTAATCAATATAGTTTACCAAATGACTATGTCAGAGGAGGAAAAATATAAGAGCCGCTGTAGATACTGAAAGAATATTTGATAACATGTAATATTCCTTCCAGATAAGACCCTCTGTATGATAAGAATAAGTAAATTCTACCTTAAATTATAAAAAAATGTATGTCTCAACCTAAAACCTGGCATTACAATTAATGAGGAAATACTGGAAGCAGTCCCACTTAGTCAGGAACAAGATGAGGACACTGTCTGTCACCACTGTTAGTTGACATTGTTCAGGAAGTGCTAGACAATTCAGTTAGCAAAGAGAATGAGAAATATACTGGATTGGGACAGGCAAAATTGCCACGATTTGCAGGTGTTCGACTACATGATAAATTCAAGAATATGTATACGGAAAACCTATTAGAAGGGAATTCCCTCAGGTAGCTGGGTACAAAATTAATATATTAAGTTTAAATATATGGAATTGCTAAGATTTGATTATTTCATGGTAACTTCTTATGGTTCAACCTAATAAAAATCAATAATATACCAATATATAGATCGAATATGCCAATACATAGCTTACTAATCAACATACTTAATAACTTATAAAGGGTAGACCTTTCTGAGCTTGTTGCAAAATACAGAAGCTATAAAGGAAGAGCTCAATATACTTTTTTTTTTCAATATACTTTTGATTATATAAACCTTAGAAATTATTTCGTAAAAGCCCACAAGCAAAAATAAAGGACTAGCAGAAACTAATACAACATTGTAAAGCAACTATACTCCAATAAAGATGTTAAAAAAAAGGACTAAAATATTTGCACAGATAGGTTAGATGATTAATGTCTAATATTGAGTATATATAAAAAGCTCCTACAAATAAATTTTTTAAGAACTATAGAGGGACTTCCCTGGTGGCCCAGTGGTTAAGACTCCGTGCTTCCACTGCAGGGGGCACGGGTTCCATCCCTGGTCAGGAAACTAAGATCCCGCATGCTGCATGGCACTCACCGCCCCCCCGCTACAAAAAAAAAGAACTATAGAAAACTGTGCAGGGGAACTGTAAATGGCTACTAAGGATGGGAAAGATATTTAATGCTCTCATTTGGACTGGTAAATAACAATGAGCCAGTGTTGACATAGGGTGATGTTGCATTTTACCAGCTCCAGTCTCGGCCAGGCCGGCTCCCAGGCTCAGATCCATTTCTTTTTTGGGGTGTGAGGGGTGTGAGGAGAGAGGGTTCAGCATCACCTCCTGGGGGTTAGGCCCTGCCTCACAGAGAACTAATGCCCGCCCCTCCTCTGCCTGCCTTCCAGCCCTGTCCATCCTGAAGCGGGCCCCCCGGAAGCGCCCAGGCCGGGTAGCCTTCGATGGCATCACTGTCTTCTACTTCCCTCGGTGCCAGGGCTTCACCAGTGTGCCCAGCCGCGGCGGCTGCACCCTGGGTATGGCCTCCCGCCACAGTGCCTACCGCCGCTTCTCCCTGGCCGAGTTTACGCAGGAGCAAGCCCGGGCACGGCAAGAGAAGCTGCGCCTACGCTTGAAGGAGGAGAAGCTGGAGGCGCTGAGATGGAAGGTGGGGAGACCCTCTGCATGGCCCTCGCCCTAGGAGTTGCTCTGAAGTCCTAGCCTTGGGGGGACAGGTGTCAGGGTGGATGCCGATTTGCTTGTTGTGTTTGTGGGAGGCCTGTGGGGCTGTGATTGGCCTGATCAGGGTTTGCTGCCAAATTCTCTACAGGCAGATGGGTATAGAAGGTCTCCTGTTTGCTGCAGGGCTGGGGACGTGGTGCCTGAATATGCCTGACCTCACTGGGAAGGGGGAGTGGATGGGACGGGGGGGGGTCGGTGTATCTGTCTGGGGGGGGGGGTTTGTCCACGAACTGGGGAATAACATGAATACGAAACCTGTTTGCAAACGCCCTAAGGGTGTTTTCTTGGCTGTCCCATTCACTATGGCATCCACAGTGCCCAGCCCAGAGAGAGTAAGCACGTGGCAGGGGGGTATTTATCAAGTGACCGATGCTGCCAGAAACTGCATCCGTGTCTGCCTCTCAAGTCCCTCCTCTCTTCTCTGGACACAGCTTTTGGAGGCTGGGATACCCAAGTCGGAGGCCAGCCTGCCGCTTACAGTGGACACCATAGATGATGCCTCTGTGGAGGAGGATTTGGCAGTGGCCGTGGCAGGTGGCCAGTTGGAAGAAATGACCTTCCTCCAGCCCTACCCAGCCCGGAAGCGGCGGGCTCTGCTGCGGGCCTCGGGCGTGCGGAGGATCGATCGCGAGGAGAAGCGAGAGCTGCAGGCCCTGCGCCAGTCCCGGGAGGACTGTGGCTGTCGCTGTGACAGGGTCTGTGACCCTGAGACCTGCAGCTGTAGCCTGGCGGGCATCAAGTGCCAGGTACGGGAGCCAGGCGGGGCTGGGAAGGCGAGCCTGAGTCAGGGCCTTCTCCGGGCTCCGCTGGATCCTCACCTGCACCTCTGCTTTCTTTGCAGATGGACCACACAGCGTTCCCCTGTGGTTGCTGCAGAGAGGGCTGTGAGAACCCTAAGGGCCGTGTGGAATTTAATCAGGCGCGAGTTCAGACCCATTTCATTCACACGCTCACCCGCCTGCAGCTGGAGCAGGGGGCCGAGAGCCTTGGGGAGCTGGAGGCCCCGGCCCAGGGTGCCACATTCAGCCCCAGCGAGCAGGTCCTGGCCCCCACGTTCCCACTGGCCAAGCCCCCCGTGAGCAGCGAGCTGGGAGACAACAGCTGCAGCAGCGACATGACCGATTCGTCCACAGCATCGAGCAGCAGCGAGGCACCCAGTGGCTCTGCCCACCCGGCCCTGCCTGGCCCCGGCTTCCAGCCCGGAGTGGACGATGACAGCCTGGCTCGGATCCTGAGCTTCAGTGACTCTGACCTGGGTGGAGATGGGGAGGAGGAGGAGGAAGGGGGTGTGGGCAGCCTGGACAACCTCAGCTGCTTCCACCCAGCTGACATCTTTGGTACCGGTGACCCCACTGGCCTGGCCAGCTGGACCCACAGCTATTCCAGCTCCAGCCTCGCGTCAGGCATCCTGGATGAAAACGCCAACCTGGATGCCAGCTGCCTCCTCAATAGTGGCCTTGAAAGCTTGGGGGAAGGCAGCCTCCCCGGCCCCCTGGTGCCAGCCATCACGGATGCCGGCCAGAGCAGCTCAGTGGACCTGAGTTTGTCCTCCTGTGACTCCTTCAAGCTGCTCCAGGCCCTGCCAGACTATAGTCTGGGGCCCCACTACACTTCCCAAAAGGTGTCTGATAGCCTGGACAACCTCGAGGCGGCCCACTTCGCCCTGCCTGCCTTTTCTCCCCCTGGGGACGCCAGCACGTGCTTCCTGGAGTCCATCATGGGCTTGTCTGAGCCAGCCGCCGAGGCCCTGGCTCTCTTCATGGACGGCCAGTTGTTTGAGGACACTGCCCCAGCGTCGCTGGTGGAGCCTGTGTTTGTGTGAGGGTTAGGGTGCCTTTTCCCAGCCCCAAGAGCCCTGTTGCTGCTTCATTGTAATTGGGGGCTCCCTGAGGTCTGCCTGTATGTAACGGTCTCCCATTGGCTGGCTCCCATGTGGGCACTCCTAATTTTCATGCAACACTCTGGATTTATTTATTTATTTTTGTAACCTTCTGTGCTGAAGCGGGACGGGGGGGGCACTTCCCCTTTCAGCTGCCTGGTCCCCCATATGCCCACACCCTCTCTTCCACTTCCATGGCCGTGCCAGGAGCAGGAAGAAATGTGGCTCCCCTGGAGCTTTGCAGACTCCTTTTCGGTCTTGCATGATGTTCCTAAGCCCAAAGACAGCCACACAGGGCTGAAATCAGCCACTTCTTAAGGCTTCTTCTGCCACCCTGAGCCCTAGACTCATGGGTGGCTGAATTCTCTGGACTGTGAAGACTATAATTTATTTCCATAATTTATTTGGAGACTAGGTGGCTGGCAGGCAATGCTAGGGTTGGGGTGGGGCACAGACCCCTGCGAGTCCCTTTGCCTTTTAGTCCTGCAGCCCTGCCCTTGCCGGGGCTTTGGTGTAGACCAGGCATGGATTTGAGCCCTCTGTCTAATGTGGCAGCTGCCCTGCTCCGGCTGGCTGAGCAAGCCGGGGCTGGCCTGGGACAGCATCTGGGCAGGGGGAGGGGCTGGGCTGACCAACCGTGACCAAAACCCTCTTCTGCCCCACACAGCCCCCTCTCCTTCCTGTCCTCTGCCCCATCTTCCCCCTCCCCAAAGGCTGCAGCTTTTATTCCAAGCCCATCAATGTAGGAGGGGGAAGCAGGAGGCCCAGAGAGGGCAAGGGGCTGCCCCAGGGCCTGTAGCACGCCCCTGACCACTCAGGGCTTTCCAGGCACGCACTCCAGCCTGGTCCACCTGCCTGTACCCTAAGGCCAGTCGGCCAGGGGAGAGGGGTGGCTCCTTATGGCTTTCATGCCCTTTGTTTGCAGATGTTGAATGTCGCATCATGGTTTCTATATTGTCCCTGAGTATTAGAACTGTAATTTATTCATTTTTCTGTGTCTGTGCCAAGAAGCCCAGGCTCTGGGCCTGCCCTCTTGCCTAGGAGGCCTTGCCAGCCTGCGAGCTTGTGGGAACACCTTGTACCTGCCCTTACAGGTACCAATAAAGAGGCTCTATTTTTCGGTGTGGTCTGTGTTTGTGGATCTGGGAGCACATTTGTGGGACCAGGAGCACAGGTAAACCCTCAGGTGGCAGTGAGGAGGGAGGGGGAGGGGGAGGCAGGCCCTGCTGGGCAGTATGGACATTGAGGCTGTGTTGGGGATAGAAGTGGGGGACACTGGGCCTCTTTCCATGCCAGCCAGTCAACTCAGAGACAGGAAGCCAGTGAGAAGAGGCAGGCCGGGCCGATGGAGCAGTTTTCTCCTTGGATGAAGCCATCTCCAGTGGTCACCTGGATGGTGGTGGGGAGCAGCAGGGCAGTGTTCTGGGACAGGGCTGTCTGTGTGGGATGGGTGTGGGCTTACTTCTTCCCACTCACCCGTACTGAGCTGGGGCCTGGCCTCGAGGGTGAAGCGGGCAGTGGGATATGGCTGGTGCAGGCCTTATGTGGGACTGAGTGGCTGAGGTCCTTGGGGACCTGAGCACCAGAAGCTGCAGAACCTCATCCATCTGCACCAGCCAGACCTGTCTGACCTGTCCCTAGCAGGTTGGGCCAAAGGCCAGAAGAGCAGGCTGCACCCTGCCCCAGGAGGCCCCAGTCTGGGGGCCTGAGGAGCAAGGTTGACCTCCCCTCTAGGAATAATAATGATTTATACAAATGCTAGGAGGGGTCACCAAAAAGACCTGACTTGGGTCTCCCTTTTCTTGCTCTAATTCTCTGCCTATGCTGGGAACCCCTTATTTCCTCTACAGCTTACTGGTTAAGAGCACAGACCCAGAGTCCCAGGGTTCGAATCCCAGCTCTTATACTAACTAGTGAGGTGACTTATGCAAATTACTTCCCCTCTCTGTGCCTGGGTGTCCCCCGTATTGTCCAAATAATAACACTGCTTACCTCACAAGCTTGCTCAGTTATACGCACCCAGTGCTCAGAGGAGTGCCTGGAACATGTAAGCCTCGGGTGCGTGTCTGACTTCCCATTCTGTTTTCATGTGTCTGCTCTATTTCTGTATGTTTTATCCTCTTTTTTTTTGCCAGTTCTGTCACCCTTTAGGTATCTATCGCTTGCCTCAGGATATGTGTAGACATAGTCATGTGGTCATGTCATCAGTGGAGCGGCCGTTAGAGAACTCATGGCTTGGAGTCTGGGCTATGGTGGGGCCGCCTGTCCCTGGTACCAGCTTAGGCAGGGACAGCCAGGTCTTAGGCATCTCAGGGTGAAGTATTCTGGTGCATCAAGTTGTCTCGTGGCCCCTCTCACTGATCCCTGGGAGCCCTATTGTAGAGATTGCTCCAGCACGCATGATCCAAAACCTGGGTCTCTCCAAGGGTCCTGAGGCTCTGCTCTGGCCAGCCTGGGGGTCTGGGTGGCAGCCCCCGACAGCTCCAATACTCTGGCTGGAAGCCCCTGCAGGCTCCTATCCCGTGGCCACAGCCCATGGCTGGACTGAGCCTACCCACTCCCCATCTAGGGCCCCAGGGTCACTTGGGTTTTTTTCTCAACATAATCCACCCCAAGAAACTAGGTTGTAAAGCAGATCATAATAAAGGCAGCTGGCTTCCCATAGGAAGGATGGTGGTAACCTGGGGAAAACATTCCAGATCACTGACTCATACCAAAAGGCCATGCACGAGATCAGCAATATATTATAAAGACAAGGCTCGCAGCCATCAGGGATGACTTAGGCTGTTCTAGAAGGGACCTTTACCCGTTCGCTGTTCCCAAACCTTAGTCACTGGACAACTTATCTTGAAAACTTTGCCATATCTGCATTCTACTCATACTAAGTATTTTACTTTATATCAATTGTATCAATATGCTTAAAAGTTAGAACCATTCTACGTAACAGCACCCACAAATTCATGAGTTTGTTGTACTATTTTTTCTATAAGGATGATACTTAAACACATAGTTATTAAACTTTCAAACGTTTGCTGTGTATCATTAGCAGGGATTTGTACCATGATTTGGGAACACAGAGATCTAGTCTAATTTCCTGCCACAGATGGGGACACATACCCAGAGGGGAAGGTCACACAGGGAGATTCTAGGCCTCCTGACTCCCAGTTCAGAGTTCCTTCCCCTGAGGTCAGACTGGCCCATTACTGCCATCCTGCAAAACAGGAAGAGAGGTATTGGGAGCACACCAAAGGTGACCTCTGTCACCCTCTTGCCAGTTACAATTAACACTATTCATCTACACAGGGACCCCTGCTTTTGTCCCCTGAGGTGTTAAAAGGGTTCCTCGAGGATGAATTAGTTGGTCACTGTCTTTTACTAAAGATGAAGTAGGAGCTAGTTTTACTTGGGATGGTATTTTCCTGCCAGAGGCAAGAGTAATCAGGGTTTGTCCCAAACTGGTAAGGACCGGCAGACACCAGCTGAAGACTTGGGGAGGGGGAGGCAGAATGCATGGACAGAGTGGGCCTGTTTGGGCCCCTGCCAGGGAGGACGCAGCAGGCAGCTTGGCAGAGAGGAGCAGTTGCTTCTTTAATCCAGGATTCCGGGGACCAGACAGGAGAAGAGAGGCTTGTACGGGCCAACATAAAAATATTAAAATAGCTGTAGGGTATTTTTTAAACCACCTCTTTGCTCCCCTTTGGCCTCTGAGAGTCTGGGATAAAAGCGGAGCCCATTAGAAGTTGCCCAGTGAGCTCAGTGGAAGCTAAGCTGGTTGATAACTTTCTTCCCCAGAGCAAAATTGCTTCTTGTGCCTTAAAAAGATAAAGCTTTGGGACGTCCCTCAGACCAGATTAGGCATGATTCAAATAAACCACACACAATATAGAAATGGGAAGAATATGTCATTTTCTGACTCTCTTCTCCACTGACCCATTTCCCACCCCCTCCATGAAACTTCTGTAGGTTGATAGTTTCCACCCACCCTGGCTCCCACTGACCACAGCTAGGGCCTCAGAGACCCTTGGGCCTTTTCCAAAATTTCTTCTCTGATTCTGGGGTAGTTGGGGTGCTCCTTGAGGACCTGGGACCGAGAGAGAAAGGGTGTGAAGCACCAGGCAGGGCTCCCCGCCACTGCAGCAAGCCCCCCACCACTGTCGGGGGCTTACATCGTGGCAGACTTCGATGGCCTCCACGAATCTCTTGTCCTTCAAGTAGTTGAAAGCGAGTTTGAAGCCTATCCAGGGGCAGGGAGAATGCAGACAATGGGTGGCAGTCCGACGACCTGAGAACCCCTCTGTTTCCCACAACAGCCAGAACATAGGCCTTGTGTTGCGGGGTGAGTTTGTTGGTCCTCCGGCCCAGCACCCACGCACGCCTGCCTGGCTGCCTTACCGCTGGCAGGGTTGGCATGATGGCTGTACTTCCAGGCCAGCTCATAGTTGGTGGCTGCGTCCTTGTACGACTGTTCTCTCTCCATGATGAAGCCCATGTACTCGTAGGCCTTGCAGCAGGACTGCAGGGAAAGCCGGTCAGAGCCTCTGTGTAGGGGAAGCCACATCCCATCCCGGTTGGGGCAAGGGATGGGCGGTGGGTGCATTCACCCAAACCACTCAGGGACTCCAGCAGCACCGCCCACCTTGGCGAGGAGTGAACTGTGTACCCTCTTCTCAGCTGTGCCCACTCTGACAGGACCCCTTCCTCCGCAGCCCTCCTGCCCTGACCGGCAAATGTCCCTCCCGGCCCCACCAAACCCTCCCTGCACGCTGCCCCTCGACCTCATGAACCCTTCCCATCTCTCCTCCCCATTCCACGTTCCCCCCTCCCAGACACTGTGCACCTCCTCTTGCCTTGCTCCGTGTTCCCATCCTGCTCTGTGGTCCACAGGAACCCTCTTGTCCCGCCTCTTCTCATCTCCTTCCTACCCCCGCATCTCGGCCCCCAAAGCCCATGTGCCCCTCCCCCGACCCTGCCCCGACAGCCGTGCGCCCCTTGCCTTGTTGTACTGCATGCAGCGCCGCAGCAGGTCCGAGGCCAGGTCGAACTTGCCGCCCTGGCAGTAGATGTCGGCCAGCAGGAGCCAGCTCTTCTCCAGGTCCTCGGCCTCGGCCAGCGTCCATGGGGCCTTGGCCAGACGCTTCAGCTGCGTGCGTGCTTTGGGGACCTGCTTCAGCAGCGAGTAGGCCTGTGCCATGGCCAGCAGGGCGGGAATGCTGTTCTTCTGAGAGGGTGGGAAGCAGGTGTTGCCTCGCCCCGCCCTCGGCCTCCCCCCACCGCCTGTCCACCCAGTGGGCAGCTGGTGCACCTCGGCCTGGGCCATCTCAGTGAAGGTGCCCAGCGCCGCCTCCACGTTAGCCTTCTCCCTGGTGGCCAGCAGGCACAGGCTCTGCAGCAGCCGCAGCTGGGTCTGGCCCCAGGCCGAGTGCGGGTAGAACTCCCGCAGCAGCTTCTCAGCAGTGCGCACGCCGTGCTGCTCCAACTCCTTCCTGTCAGTGGAGCCGCGGGCATCGGATGCCAAGCCGGAGGGCAGAGGGCACTGGCCTGACAGCCTGGCCCTCGCCTGGCCTTGACCCAGAGGCCGCGGGCTCTCTCTGCCTTCCCCCAGGTCCCACCCCTGCCCTCGCCGGCCAGCCGGGCCCTCACTTGCTCTCAGTCACCAGGTTCTCGAAAGCCTCTCCACCCACGATCTCATTGTCTGGGTTCAGACAGATTTGCACCATGTAGTAGGTGGCGCTCTGGCCCCAAGTGCTGTCCTTGCGTGCTTTGTTTAGGAACTTCAGGGCTTCGTTGGGTTGCCCTATGTGCCTATAGTGGAGGAGAGAAACACCAAGAATCAGACAGGGAAACTTGAGGCCCGAGGAGTACAGGGACACACAGGGGTCACTCTGTGAATCTGCACAATGCAGGGGCAGGATCGCTGGTCTCCCTGCTTCCTGATCTGGAAGCTGAATTTCTGCTTCCCTAGCAAACGCCAGCATGTCCGTTAGGGACAACCTCCTGCACATAACTGCCAACACACCCACCCCAACCCACCAGCAGTAGATGCCTCTGCAGTAGTTGAACCCTGGCTCTAAAGGCACCCGGCTGGACACCTTCTTGGCCAATTCAAAGAAGGCAGGGGCGTCC